CAATAAAAGTTTTGGGGGCTTTTTTGCCTGTTTTACATCTTATCAACAATTGCATGTTTTCCAGAGTTAAACTATCTAATAATCCTGTTCAGTACATTAGGTTGTGACACTAAGGGGTCCATTTATAGATGCTTTCGCCCAAGATTTACCCAACCTCAAGAGTCACATATTTTTTGACATAGGATTCTATTAGAAAAATAGGTGAGTATTTGGTGAACGTTGTTTGAATCTTGGATGAAAATACTGATAAATAGACCCCCAATATTATGTTCACACAGGCATTTTAGTGCAGTATGGTTAAAAAAAACAACATCTTTGGGGATGAATATTATTATTTAATTATTACAGGTATTTATGCAGCGCCAACAATTTATGCATGACTTTACATTTTGTACATTCATATTCAGTCCCTGCCATCAGGTAGCTTACAATCTAAGGTCACTATCTCACATGTATAAAAACACATACAGGGGTCAATTTAGACAAGAATTAATTAACCTACCAGCATGTCTTTGGGATTTGGGAGGAGACCGGAGTACCTGGAGGAAATCCATGCAAGCATAGGTAGAACATGCAAACTCTTTGCAGGTAGTGTCCTGGTTGGGATTCAAATGCAGGACCCTATTGCTTATATGTGTTAAATGAATTTAAATTGTACTGCAACTGCACCACATTATAAAACAATATTTTTCACATCTGGAAGCATCCTTTGGACACTATCTAACACAATCACTTTTATATTTTGTAAATCTATTATTTTCCCCATAGAGAAGGTCATTAGTGTTTATGTTATGATCTTTTTCTCTCTGCAAAGAATTGTCTACATGTCTAGTGCTTGCACAAATAATGGGATATTCATCCAATCTGTCCATTTACAGTCAGATCATGGAGCGTTGGTATGTATTTAGGCTTCCCCTGGTACCCTGCTTAAGCCTTCTCATAAAAATAATACATTGGCCAGGATGGATTTTCCTAGCCAGTCACTATTGTTTCCCCATAAACAAGTGGTACCTGCAGTTCACTCCCAACCATAAGCACAAATAGGCAAGTAAACTGTACACTTGCATGGTTGGACAGTGATCATTTATAAAGATCATCATCTCCTTGATCCCAAAGCTCCTTTATATGTACATGTGAAAGGGACCAATGTCATATAAACATCCCTATTGCGTCAGTTCACACCAATGTGCTGTGTTAAATAAAGTAAGACATGTCCCATTTTTGCACAGCATGCTCTGACACGCTGTAAATGCATTGCAATGCACTGCATACACAATATTACCTTTGATATCAATAAATAGAATGAAATGCAATGTGTGATAACAATGCTTTGCAGAGATAATGCACTCATTATATTGCACCAGTGCAGCTGTATTATGCACATAATAACATTGGTGCTGTGAAGAGAATGGGCCCTCAATCTTGACCAGACTGATGTGAATGAGTAAGTATGTAAAGCACTATATTAATCTCCTAGATTGTAAGCTCCAAGGAGCAGGGCCCTCCTTTCCCTCTTGTATTGAACTGTATTATTGCTGTATTGTCTCCCGTTATATTGTAAAGTGCTGAGCAAACTGTTGGCGCTATATAAATCCTGTTTAATAATAATATAAATGTCTGTAATAAATAAATAGGCTTTTTTTACTCACACAACAATAATCCTGAGAAGCCATTTAATGATTCATGGGAAATGGAAATGTGTACATTTAATAGGCCCATTTTACAGTGAACTTGCATTGCTGATGTAAAATGCCATGTGTTGGATAGAAGGAACCTATAGTTTCACAATACACCTAGAAGATGTCACTTTCACTGAACACTTTTGCAGCTCCTCCTGAAGATCTTTTATAAATTCTAATTATCTGAAATTTAATTTCCTAGGCACCAGCTACTGGTTTAGGAGGTAGAAGAAAGTAAGCATTTTTTTTTCACATGCCCAGAAGTTTGTGGCTTCAGCCCATGATGAGGTGACAAATTAAAAGTAGCCTGTGGCACATTAATAAATAAATTGTCACTTTAGATTAAAAAGATTCATACATTTTTCAAATAGCAGGAAACAGAGTGCAGCAGCCCATAGCAATCATTGCAGTCAAATCAGTGCAGGATTTTGGATTCTTTTCTATGGGTTACTGACTGCATAAATACATCTCATTACATCTCTATTATTATTATACAGGATTTATATAGCGCCAACAGTTTGCTCAGCGCTTTACATTATAAAAGGAGAAAATACAGCAACAATACAGTTCAATACAAGAGGGTTAGGAGGGCCCTGTTCCTTGGAGCTTACACTCTCTAGACAAAATGTTCTTGTATTGTTGGATTGAGTGGGGTTAGACCCTCTGTCTTTTTTTTTTATTATCATCTGCATTCCTGCTGGGGAAATTTACCCTGTCTATTTGTCCTGGTAATTGTTGTCACCAGAACACACAGGGGTTGACTCACTAAAATCGGAGAGAGAGTGCAAAATCTGGTGCAGCTGTGCATGGTAGCCAATCAGCTTCTAACTTCAGCTTGTTCAATTAAGCTTTGACAATAAAAAAATCTGGAAGTTGATTGGTTTCTGTGTAGGGCTGCACCAAATTTTGCACTCTCCAGTTTTAGTAAATCTACCCCACAGTAATAGGAAATCCAACATTTTACAGTTTTCAATGAACAAGAGGCAATGAGAAATGTTCTATTAGGGACACCTGTTCTGGTGACAATTGGACTTTGCCCTTAATATGAAGAGATTTTCACTTGTGCCTGGATTGTGTATCCAAAACAGGAAGTCAGCAAAAATATCCCCAACCAGACACAGACAAAAAAAAAACTGACAGATATTTAACAATTGCTCAAAAAAATATATAAACTTAGGCTAGAAATGTACTTTCAGTAACCTCAACATGTCCTTTACCAATGGTTTGCTAAATGTTCGCCTTGGGAAGTCAGCACACACTTACAAGAATGTAATTGAATTACAATACATGGCTAATGTTAGGCTGGAAGTCACTGCAGTATATCTGGGATTCTAAGTAAGCCTAGCATCTGTTTAAATGTTGGGAATTATTTATAAAGTAGATTGTTTTATCAAGGATGACCATTTTTAAAACGTAACTATATGTTGGGCAATGCAAACTGAGCAATCTTTAGACAGACATGGGCTGCCTTGCTAGCCTCAATATCTGCTGCCTCTGCAGTATCCAATTAACCTAGAGAGACTAGGAAATAAAGCCACACGTCATCCAAACTAAAGAACGCCTAAGCTTTTTTGATGACTCAAGATGTATAGAGAAACTAAACACAAAACTGGCCATAGGACTTGCTATTGGACATCATAGAAGGTTTTGGTTCCCATACACAAATATTTGCTCTTTCATCACAGGTTTGTTGGGGTTTCCCTTTAAGTGATATTTTCATATTTTGGAGAGCTTGTTTTTCATCATCTGCATCAGGGTTTTCCATCACTGGGGTCTGTAGGCAAACAATTTATAGGACCCTTAGTATAACCTTTCTGCTAGGATCTCTTTAACCATTGATATTTCCTTGTTTTAATGATCCCCACATGGCTTACAATATTGTAATAATGTGCACATGACCTTATTTAGTCTACAGATGATGGCCAATTAGTATACAGGAAAAAGCCACTTTAAAGTCTGTGTCACCTCTAGGCATGTGCCTACTGTGCCTAAAGGTAATAACAGCCCTTATCAGCATACTGTACATGAACAACATTAACCATCCTTCTTCTCCAGTCTCCTCCTTTATTCCGCCTTTAAATTTCATCAAACAGCTGGATGCTATTGGTACACACGTTGGTACACACCTTTGTATGTCCTCCATTCTGAGAATAAACATATCATTCTTACAAGTCTCATTAACATTTAATTATCACGCTGGAATCTGGTTTAGACCATTTCAGCACCAACAGCTAAAGATAATCTTTTACTACAATTTGAAATTGAGTTATACAAACACTTTTAATAATGGAAACGATAGGGTGGTAAGTTTTCGTACATAAAGAAGTGTCAGAGAGTTTACCTGGATATTTAGCATCATATGTAGGTGCCCTAAACTTTACTCCAATAAAAAAGCATAACATAATGATCTCAGATGTAAACCCCATGTATATGTACTACCTTTCTGTTAATGCTGAAAAATCCTTCTATGTTCACAGGTTAACAACCCCAAAAAACATATTGTTCCTAGCCCATCTGATGAGAAAGTGTAGAAAAAAGGCTTATGGCTTTTGCTTCTTTGGTTACTCCCCACCTCAAGACTACTTAATAGAGAAACCTGTCAGCAAGCCCCCAGTGTCCAACTGACAGCATTGCTCACTGTAGGAAAGTCTAATTGGGTGACAGCATTGGCTCTGATAATGGAAAGCTAATACAAAATACAAATATAATTTTAAAATACTTTTACCAGAAGCATTTAAAATATATTCCATATGTTTTAATTGCTACAAAACCAGATTAAAGAGTATAAGAAAAACAATGCTGTGCTAATACTTAAAAATTGTATATAACAAATATATGAATGTAAAGTCCACTCGTGCAAAGAGTCCACTTAAATTGTGCAAATTAAATAGATAAATAAAAGAATGTGTCCCAAAAATCAAACTGGTGAATCCAGATCAGACAAAGTGGTAAACCAGCACCTGAAGGAGAATCTCTACAGCCAAAGGTCATAAATGTAGGTTTACCCAAATCCCATGACTCTCTTACTACAGAGAAGTCATAGGTAGTATATGGTATCTATGGTCATAAAACAGTTGAGTCTTCTACACCCTTCCCAAGATATGATGACTGGGCCAAGATGTCAATATCACCAAAACCCCTCTGTCAATTTCCACATGTCCCAATACATTCAGGGAAAAATAGGAAACAAAACGATCCACATTGTGTGAAATCATGTATACAAGATTTGTTAAGACATGAAAATGCACTTACAAATGGGGGTTGATTTACTAAAGACAAATAGACTGTGCACTTTGCAAAGTGCAGTTGCACACTGCAAGTGTAGTTGCTCCCAGGGGCGGACTGACCATTTGGAAACTGCCTGAGGGCCCGGGGTCAGTAGGGGGCCCCATGAGATGCCCCTGGTACCTTTTTCATAGGCTTTTTGGAGTTTGGGCAAGGACACAGGGGCCCCATGATCCCCTATTGCCCGGGGGCCCCATGAGTTGTCAGTCCACCCCTGGTTGCTCCAGAGCTTAGTAATTGAGCAGAAGCTCTGGTGACTTCCATCATCCAATCATGTGCAAGCAAAAATGCAAGTTTTTTTTCCTTGCATGTGATTGGGTATTCTTTGCAAAGTGAGGTTGTACCTCATTTACTAGGCTCTGGAGCAACTGCACTTGCAGAATGAAACTGCATTTTGCAAAGTGCACAGTCTATTTGCCTTTAGTAAATCAATCCCATTGTGAATCAATAGGAAATTCCAGTCGGAAATACAAACTTCCTTGGATTAAATATTGTTGTCTCATATATTTGCATGAAGGTTCACCTTTCTTCATTTTATGTTCAATTTATTGTAGTTCAGTCAATCACTTTGATGGTCATAAAGAACAGTGGTGGGTAGGGGGGCACCATCACATGATTACTAATTGACAGCACTGTCATAGAACCTGCATACAGAACCATCAACCTTCAACACAGGCTGGAGGTCACGGGGCCACCACTCTCACATTCATTCTTTCAATACTAAAAGCACAGGATAGACTTTAGGCCAGGGGTGGGCAAACTTTTTGACTTGAGGGCCGCAATGGGTTCATATATTGGACCCGGCGGCCGGACCAAGAGTAGATGAATGATGTGTATGTGTCATCCATAGTAAGTATAGTAATATTCCCCCATAGTAAGCATAGTAATTGATCCCCCATATAGTAATTCATCCCCCCTATAGTAATTCATCCCCCATAGTAATTCATCCCCCATATAGTAATTCATCCCCCATAGTAATTCATCCCCCATATAGTAATTCATCCCCCATATAGTAATTCATCCCCCATATAGTAATTCACCCCCCACATAGTAATTCATCCCCCATAGTAATTCATCCCCCATATAGTAATTCATCCCCCATATAGTAATTCATCCCCCATAGTAATTCATCCCCCATATAGTAATTCATCACCCCCCTATAGTAATTCATTCCCCATATTAAGTCCCCAAGTCCCCCCTGTGTCAATTCACTTACCTTTGCTCCGCGCGTTCCTCTCGCCGTGTTCCCGCGCCGTTCCGGTGTAGCATGAAAATCTGTCTCCTATGAGGATTTGTCCCCCTCGACGTATCTGCGCATGTGCCAGTTTCAGACATTAGCAGCCGATCGGCGATCTCCGGCACATGCGCAGATACGTCGAGGGGTACAGATCCTCATAGCAGACAGATTTTCATGCTACACCGGTCTTCAGGGCGGACTGTGAGAGGAGCCTAGTGGGAGCCTAGCTCCGCGGGCCGGATTAAAAGGTCCGCCGGGCCGTATACGGCCCGCGGGCCGTAGTTTGCCCATTGCTGCTTTAGGCTATAGGCTAGTAGCTCTTCTAATCTAAACTATTTTGATTGTAATCCAATGTTGCTTAAATATAAAAATTGTGCTCAATCTGATTCATGTATACATGTAAAATAACAGGAATGCCCCACAGTGCTATAACGTCTTGCCATCAGAATTCCAGGAATGTATGAAAAAATTTATTTTTCACATCAGAGGAATGATCAGAGGTCCTAACATCTAGAAAAGGATTTGTCCAGGAGCACAATGACGTGTTCAATGTATGTGCAGTAATCGATCATTTCTTGTTTAGTCCCAGAAACAGGTCAGATTTCAGCTACATGAATAAATGGAATATTTTTGGAAAAATCCAATAAAGCAAATGGCTGGATTGCATAGCTATTGGGCCCCATTACCTTGAAAGTAATATGACTACAAACAAAGTTAATATTGCCTTCAGTACAATTCTGACAGCATTTATCAGCATGTCAGCAGATCTTATCAGTTTCAGCAGAAACAACATAGGGTTGAGGTTCTTTCATGTTACATCACCTGTGATATTAAAGCAGTATTAAACCCAAAAGCAAACATTTATCATTGCAGCTTACCAATTTTTAGATGTGGTGGCTCCATTAGTTTCCTTTTTTATTCCTTTTTTGTCTTTTATTTTCGATGATCAAGATATCCTGTAGCTGTAGCAATGGGACGGATGAAACAAACCATTTAACAGAGAAGGGTGCTTACAATGAACGGCTTTTTATTATTGAAGTAAAACCTTGACCCCAAAAGGAAAAAAAAACTGTTTACTGTAACTGCTTATGAAGTGTGAGCTGGAGTTCAGCTTCAACTTGTTAGTGTATTTAAATCTGCTAGTCCATCTAACACGCCCCTTCCCCCAAGACTGACAATGCTGCTGTCCAAAGGTTCCCCATGCTCATTCATGCATAGTGGGGACATTCTAATAAAGGCAGTGTGTTACTGGCCAGAACACCAGGTGAAAACAGAGAGGAAAAAAAGCCTAAAAAAAAAAAAAAAGAAAACTACCAGCATATCTAATGATTAGAAAGATGCAATACATTACATTTTGGGTTTTGGTTTTAATACCACTGGTTGCCCATTAATTCCATTTAGCAAGCACAAGAAAAGTTCTCATACTGCACATGTGCTCTGTAACTAAGATCACTTCTATATGAGGTACAGAGAGTGCAACTGCTCTGGGGCCCAAAAAGCCTGTTAATCCCTAATAACCAAACGTGTGCTTTTCTTTACAGCAGAAAATCCTTGCTTCCTCTTTCCACTCAAAAAAAAAGGATTTATTAATATCTACAAATCTGTATATAGCAATATTAAAAATGTACAGTCCAATGGTTCTGTTTCATTTTTGAAGGTTGATGAGTGAGCCACAAGGGAACTTGTTCTCATTTTGTACAACAGTCTTTTGGCTTTAAGTTCTGATTCTGACTGTAGCTAATCAGAACAACGTTCTAACATTTAACTCATTCTCAAAATAAATGTTTACCGTGTACCCCCTGATGTTGGTCGCCTCATTTTTAAATACGCTTTGATATTTGCATTTAATCCTGTTGCATTACTAATTGTCTATAAATATATCTCTAGCAATCTTGTTTGCAATTTACTAAAAAAAAGTTTGCTCTTTTTGGTATGTTGTTACCCACCATAAGTACTCCATGGGGCACACAAAGCATCAAATGAGAGCCTGTGACTTGGGGTGGCCATTAACAGCCCTATCCCTGTCCAAGAAGACTCTTGGACAAAAGATTGCTGCATTTTTAAAGATATCATTAAGAGGTAAAAGCAAGGCTGGGTCAGACTACTTCCCTTCTTCTCTTTCTCATAGTTAATTCCTAAACCATGTTTGAAAAAAACCCAAAAAAACTTACCCCACCAGGGTAAAGTAATAATGTGCTAGTAAGCGCCACATACTAGTGCATTATGACAGACTTACTTGTGAACTGGATCCCTCCAGTGGTGCCTTGTCACTGCTGACAGGGAATCTATCTTCACCCAGTCTTCTTTCTAGGTTGTTGGCTCTGGTTGCTTGAATGGCTGAACCATGATGACGTCACTCACACACGTGTGTGGGAGTCATGGCCGCAGCACAGCTCTCTCAATATGCCGCATGCCAACTAATTAGAGTGCAGTGCGCATGCCCTGTGATGCCACTGGCTGCTTCATATGTAAATATCTCAGAAACAGTGCATGTTTAGAAGACACCTACCTACAGGTACGCCTTATTATAGGCTTATTTGTAGGTAGAAAGCAATAAAGTTTACTCCAACTTTAACCCCCCCCCCTTCCCATACTAACCTTCACCCCACTCCCCTTTTTTTCTTTTCTCTCCCCTGGTGTCCTCATTTAATGCCTGGTACTGCCATGGTATAAAGAAGGGAGAAGTGTCTCTTTCCTGCACTGGGAGGTGTGGGTAGCTGTTCATATGCTTGACAATTGCATCCAATCCTGGCTGTTGTTATATCTTTTGTATTTAACTTTTGTTTTTATTATTGACTGTTAAAAACTATGGAAAAACCACTTTGTAAATTAAAAATGCAAAAAAAGAGGAAAAGCAAGAACTTCCAACATTTGAAGCATCTATTATTTATACAGTTTCCAAAACACTAACACATTTGATATCAACTGAACATTTTGGTTACTTTTCAATGCACATGCATGAAGTCCTGGTCATAATTCCAAAAAGGGGAGCTAAAACATTGAGAACTGTTTTTTTAGAAAATCATGTCATATGATGTCTTTATCCATATACATTGTGATATTGGCAGTTCCTGCTGATCAACTGTTCTTTGAATGTTTTTAATTATAATAATAGATTGAGACAAAATGTAAAGTGTATCAAAATCCAAAAACAGACATTAATATATTACAATTTACCAGTCCTTAGGTGTGGCAATACTGTAAAAACATCCTTTCTGTCCATAGCTACTGTCATTTCTCCTTTGAAAGGAGCTATGGTTGTCTCACAGGCTGGACTTCAAACATATCTGTCTTAGTTCATCTCCATTACATGGTGGACTGTTGGGGGCAATTTTAGTTTTTTAGTTGTTACTTACCAAAGAAAAACAAAGAGGTGTATGCTTTCTTTTCTGTTCACAGGAAAACAATGACCCTGCATTTCTGGCAAGATCAACAGGTATTTTCTCTTCTTTCCAAAAATGCTCTAAGCCTGAAAAAAGAAAATAAAATCATCCACCAGGAATTAGATATGCTTTCAGGAGACCATAAATTTGCAGATTGTGCCACACAACTTCTTACATCTAATTTGCAGGTTGTCTAACATACAAATTCTCTATAGGGACGGCCAGATCGGACAGATCCCAGCTTTTTTGCATAGATCGAAACACACTCACCAGCCACTTTATTAGGTACACCTTGCTAGTACCGGGCTGGACCCCCCTTTTCCTTCAGAACTGCCTTAATTTTTTATGGCATAGATTTAACAAGGTGTTGGAAACATCCCTCAGGGATTTTGGTCTATTCTGACATGAGTTACTGTTGTCTTTCCCATCATCTCAAACCAATCTGCCCATTTTCCTCTGATCTCTGACATCAAGAAGGCATTTTCGTCCCCACAACTCCCACTCACTGGATATTATCTCTTTTTCAGACCATTCTCTGTAAACCCTAGAGATGGTTGTACATGAAAATCCCAGTAGATCGGCAGTTTTTTAAATACTCAGACCAGCCCTTCTGGCACCAATAACCATGCCACATTCAAAGTCACTTAAATCCCCTTCCTTCCCCTTTCTAATGTTCGGTTTGAACTTCAACAAGTCATCTTCACCATGTCTAGATGCCGAAATGTATTAAGTTGCCGCCATGTGATTGGCTGATTAGCAATTTGTGTTACCAA